CCCGCGCCCCACTGGGGGGGGGCTATTTATAGCCCCCCCTCCCGTTTTTCTGCAATAACTTCCAAACCGCTTGACGAATCGACGCCAAACTTTCAGTACCTTCGGCTGCATCAATTTGACATTGTGTCAAAATTTGAACTTCGTAGCTACCATAGGTCGGCCGGAAAATGACGTCAGAGTGACGTCATGTTCGTCCGATTTCGACGCAAAACATTGAACCACGGCAATCGCTCCCAAGAGCTCAGTTTTTAAGCTAGATCCAATTTCTTTGCATGAAAGGACTCAGAATTGACCGCGCTATCAAACTGCTATCTCGGATTTTCAAAATTTGAAAATTTCGAAAATTTATATAATAATATTCAAATTTATTTTTATTTTTTTTCAAAAAGTTTTTGACTTTTCGAAAAAACCGGAATATATGTGACAGAACGCATGATTATGACTAACTCTAGCAAGTTTTAGCTAAATATCTTCAAAAATGGCCAAGTTATACGCATTATTGCAAAAATTCAATTATTAATTTTTCAAATCAATTTTTCAGTACGTATTGGCATCGTACACCAATATAAATAGCACCATCGTGTTCCTGAGCTCAAACTGCATCCAATAGACACCTTTTTTGTTGAAAATTTCAACTTCAAAATTTGACCTTTTTTGACCTGAAAGTGACCTGACCTAAGCTAATTTCGACTCAAAATGACCTTGAATGACACCGACATCAAATTCGAAATCTATGGCCTAAATGGACCATAAAACATGTGTCACGTGACCGACGCATGATATAATATTTCGTGACCTGTGATGACCTGACCCTGCCCTGAAAATCAAAGTACAAGTTTGGTACCTCAAGGTATCTAGAGCATCTGTTCACGAGTGTGGAAACCAGAAATGAGCCTGATCTGACTTGTAAGACGGCGGCCAGAGCCCAAAATGTGACAAGCCAAAGTGCTAATAATTTTTACTTTGACCTGACCTGTGACGTCATCGGTGACCTCGAGGTCAATGAAATTAGGTTTCGCTCGACAGTTTTTCCGGGGCTATCAGATTCCGTTTGAATTTTGACGATCGGCCCAGTAGTTTCGGAGTTAGGAGGGGGGGGGCTATGAATAGCCCCCCCCCCCAGTAGGGTGTTATACACAGACCCCAGTGGGCGCGGGTTAAAGGGGATATACGTTGTGGATTCAATGATATCTTTTATTGCGTTTAGTTTCTGCTTTATTTGAAAGTTATTTATTACTGTAAAGTTATAAATGTGGTAATTTGACCCACGGGTACTTGAACTTTTACTGGTACTGTGTCCCGACGACGTCAATAGGACTAACACTTTACCATGCCTTGACATTTCGGTAAAAATGAGAGAAGAACGACTCGTGCAAACGAATTCTCTACTTTTTTAGTTCAAAAGCTTTCATGAAACCAATATTGACAAAAATGGTAATTTTACCCGTTTTTGGCTATGGAGCCTAACCGTTGATCTGAACCATGGATGATATACTAATGGATTGGTGTCTTCGCAGTTTTTGGCGACATTGAGCTCAGGCCTGCCATCTAGCGGAGAATTATCGTAAGTTAGGAGCAAGCCGAGTGACGCCGCTGATTAGCATTGTGACACACGGGGTGTGGGTAGTAGCGGGCTTGTTGTGCAATTTTTCAAAAGGTTACGTCTTTATATGCCAGTAAAAGCGAAGAAATTAATAGATTTATGTGCAGCGTCAGTAATAAGATAAGCAGTTTCATGTTATTTCCTCATTAAATCGTGAAACAGGGAGTTATTGGAGACTTCGCCAGCACGTGTCGTGTTCGCTATTTTTCACAAGAGTCTTTACTTGGCCTAAATCAAACAAATTGCCCGATCAAAGAACAAAACGAACGTTAAGTACTATCTATAAGTCTAATGAAAAAGTTGAACGGAATTGCTAACGTCATTGCCGCTCAAAATGTCGTTCAAGACGCTCTGAAAAAGGACCCAACCAGTGCTGCGAAGTCGATGAAATTTCAGTGACTTTGGCTCCAACTCCGATTCGGTATCCAAATATCGACTCCGACTATCCGGGCAGAACTGTCGATTCACACAGACTCCGACTCTGACTCCGACACTGCAGCCCTGGTAAGTCTGTGGAGTCGGTGGCTTTTCGGTGACGTAGACTCTACTCCGATTACAGCTTTTAAAAATCAACCGACTCCGAGTCGGAACAGAACCGCTGGCTCTGACTACAAACTCCGCAGCCCTAGCCCAAGATAGCCGCCTAAACAACTTTGATGTTCTTCGTACATTGTTAATGTTTTTTAAACAAGGAGTGGAAAAGGGAGGCGAAGCCTTCGCTCTTCACAAACAAGGATTTCCTTGCGGATCAATCAACTGCTGGAACAAAAGGCATAAACACCAGCATATCATTTCATCATTTTCCTAACGACTCTGCACAATGTAAGTACTGATCAATGCAGTGTGAGCATCGATGTGACATTTGTGCACCAAGTTTGAGTGTTATCCGCCCAGCCGTTTTGAGATATGGAAGCGGCAACCCGCACGTGCGCACGTGCAGTAGCACCCACCCCCATGGTGACAGGAAATGCTTGGCCACTGGGTGCCAAACTATTGACGAAGTTTACTGTAATGGGCCCATTCATTGCGGAGTTACTTTATGTGGAACAATTCGACACCCCTAAGTTGGCACGGCACGTGCCGTAACATTAACTAAGATGAAGAAAATCAGGCGAAATTCGGAGAAGAAGGAATAAGCCTACCAAATGTGCATGACATATTGTCAAACTGCTGTACCATTGTGAGTAAATGACCATATAAAAGGTCGTACAGCCGATGGGACTGGGCGTTTCAATACATACCGTCTTAGCTTGCATTTTATTTTTTATTACCTAAGGCGGCTTGACATTTTTGGCTTTCAAGCATTTTACATTTTTGGTCTAGGTCCAGTAAGATTACCTCCAACTCGTAGAAAAATGCACTTCAAGCCAACTAACAGCAGTTGATTGATCCGGGATCAATCAACTGCTGGAACAGAAAGGCAAAACACCACGTCATATCTCTCATTTTCCTAACGACTCTGCCACCATGTAAGTACTGATCAATGCAGTGTGAGCATCGATGTGACATTTTGTGCACCAAGTTTGAGTGTTATCCGCCCAGCCGTTCTTGAGATATGACAGCGGCACCCCGCACGTGCGCACGTGCAGTAGCACCCACCCCCATGGTGACACATGGAAATGCATTGGCCACTGGGTGCCAAACTATTGACGAAGTTTTACTGTAATGGGCCCATTCATTGCGGAGTTACTTTATGTGGAACAATTTCGACACCCCTAAGTTGGCACGTGGCACGTGCCGTAACATTAACTAAGATGAAGAAAATCAGGCGAAATTCGGAGAGAAGGAATAAGCCTACCAAATGTGCATGACATATTGTCAAACTGCTGTACCATTGTGAGTAAATGACCATATAAAAGGTCGTACAAGCCGATGGGACTGGGCGTTTCAATACATACCGTCTTAGCTTGCATTTTATTTTCGTTATTACCTAAAGGCGGCTTGACATTTTTGGCTTTCAAGCATTTAATACATTTTTGTCGTCTCAGGTCCAGTAAGATTACCTCCAACTCGTAGAAAAATGCACTTCAAGCCAACTAACACACCACACCCACGTGTGTCATAATGCTGGGAGATAGCGTTCACTCGGCTTGCTCCTAACTTACGATAATTCTCTCGCTAGATGGCAGGCCTGATCCCAATGTCGCGGATCCCAATGTTAATTTCCACGAGACACCAATCCAGTGTTATCATCCATGTCTGAACTCAATCCTGACGAAATATTGACGAAAGAGCTGTTCAAGATATCGACTGCTTTTCTCCTATCGATTGCGCCCTCCTAGCTATCATAGTTTTTGAGATACCGGCACGTTTTCCGAAAAAAAATATCGCATCATTGCGAAGTTTGACATTTGATGGCATACGGTCAGATCAGGGCCGTCATGGCCGTCTGGCCATAGGAGGATATAGAGGGGGCCACGGGGCCATGCTCCCCCCCCCCCCCCAAAGCGCCCGGAAATGGCACAAAATCGACACATTTCTGGGCATAATAATTAAACAAAGGAACTTCCATTGGGAAAAGTTTGGGTTATATTACATGATAGGCAGTAAGGAAGCGAAATCCGAAGCATCCAAAGCATCCGTTCATCCAAAGCATTAATCTATGATGGATTTTTTATGTAGCTTTAAAATCCGATGATTTTTTGTCACAACTTAGGTGGGTACTGTTTGACCTTACGTCATCTAATTATTTCAAACACATAGTATCTTCAATGCAAATTGGCCATGTTTCACACGTCAACCTCTATTTTGAATCAATTGATAAGGGTGAAAAGCGCATGAAGAGACGTATGTATCACATTTTAATCATGTGCATATTCATATTTATTCTCTAAGCATAGGTACAATTTGGTGCGTCAAGGGAGGTCAAACACGCCCAACGCCGTTCAGGAAAACGACAACGAGTGACTAACAACAATGTAAATGTCATTTTAAATCGCCGGTCCGCCCTTTGAATGCGGATAAAGAACGCACTACGACTGGGCGAATTTCGAGACTGGCCAAAAGCAATCACAGCCCGCTCCCAATATCCCGCTTGCAGTGCCCCTCCACCAGCACAGTACACAATGTATCTGTACATTATCTCACTTGCATTATATACTATTTCGCTTGCAACGTGCCCTTTCCGATCAAAGCATGTGCCCTATGCCACCTTTGGGACGCAGTGAAAAATCCTTAAAATATGCCCTGGTGATCAGTGATTATCTTTGTGCATCGGACCGTCGCACAATCAGCAGTTATGCCATGCTATTCGCTCCTCAACTCTTCGTATAATGCTCATCTCGCGGCTCGTCCCCGCCCCGCCTCGCCGAAACACTGCGCTGCAGTATCCAGATGGCGTGTGTTGCGGCACAGTCTACCATCCCGTGTACTGCGGCGCAGTCTACCATCCTGTGAGATGGGCTCTCTGCCAGTGTCGGCCCACAAACGCTATGGGATGCTCCCCTCACAGTCACAGTCTGAACTTCTGAGCTCCGAACCCTCACTGAAGTTATTACAGGAATCCTACAAGAATACAGAAAGCGCCTGAAATCCATGTTTGCCTTAGGAATGTCATGAGTGTGACCATGGTGGTCGAATCGTATCTAACATTTTTTTGCGATCAGTTCTCACGTTCAAATAGTTAGAATAGGTACTTATCTTGATAGAAATTAAGCAAGGGATAAGTCAGGCTCAAACAAAAAGGTTGTGACTTGAACTAGGCTTTATTTAAAATACATTTTAAAAAGTCACTTTTACCTCGAGATGTCTAATTCTTTACCCGCAAAAGTCATAACTGAGAAGCAAACTTCGGATGTATTATTGCACGAACAAACATGTAACGATGGGACAAACACATAATACAAGGTACAATACACGGTGAAACATACAAAAAGTACAAGGACAATCGGTACAGATAGGACAACGTATTGGTATCGGTGTACCACAAAGTATGTCAAAATACGCAGGTTACTTATAAAATATATGCATAGTGTCCAAGAGGCATAAAGATGAGGGCAAAATGCTTAGGCTTCTATACGACTGACGTAGAGATAGATAGGCTCGTTTTTCTGTTGCCAATTACATAAAACCCACACACGGGAACAGCCCCTCATAATACCTCATACCTACTCACAAAAGGCTGCAAGTTTGGCCTTCGCTTTGTCATCAGCAAAATGACTCTTCACTAGCACAGCTCGGCGCGCAATCACTTATTGCACATTTTTATCATTCTCTTATGAACGCTTTCATGGTATTCGGTATACACATATGACAATTTTAAATTAATCACTCTCGTCGTTTTGAACTTCATTGACATCAGCAACCATGGCATCTTCAACGGCTGCCTCCTCGCCCTGGTCCATGTCTGTGGCATTTTCTTCTCCATTGCCAGATCCATCCTCTGAATCGCCGCTGCCGTCATCAGCATTGACCTCCATTGCGATGTCTTCCTCTGCTGCGTTGCCCTGCTCTTCATCAACATCATCGTCGCTGTCGTCATCATCGTCATCATCATCATCATCATCATCATCATCATCATCATCATCATCATCATCATCATCATCATCATCATCAGCATCATCATCCTCATCCTCATCATCATCATCATCGTCGTCGTCGTCGTCGTCACCATCATCATCATCATCATTATCATCATCGTCGTCTCCATCGTCCTCTTCATCGTCATCCTCATCATCGTCATCTTGGTCGCCATCGTCTTCGTCGTCTTCGTCATCACCAGCATCCTCCATCTCTTGAGCATCATTCTCGTCATCGTCATTACTCATGCCGTCATCATCAGCTTCATCATCGTCGGTATTTTCAGCACCTGAGTCGTCACCGTCATCATCAATGGCATCTTCGTCCTGATCATCGCTGACATCATCATCGCCGTTACCATCGCCGTCAGTCTCTGCTTCCTCCTCGTCATCGCCGTCTGTTTCGTTGTCGTCGCCGTCGTCATTATCATCGCCATCAGAATCGTTGTCATCATCAGCATCATCGTCGTCCTCCTCATCATCATCGTCATCGTCACCATCATCACCATCATCGTCATCCTCAGCATCATCAGCATCTTCTTCATCATTATCGACGTCATCGTCGTCATCGTCATCTTCATCATCATCATCATCGTCATCGCCATCATCTTCGTCATCGTCATCCTCATTGTCGTCATCATCATCATCATCATCATCATCACCACCAGCATCATCATCATCATCATTGTCTCCGTTGAAATCGTCATCTTTGTCTTCGCTGTCATCATTTTCATCATCACTATTGTCTACATCACTAGCTTCTTCGGAAACATCATCTCCTACCTACTTGAGCCTCTTCATCGTCACCAGAGGTTTCGTTGGTTTCTTCCGCTTTCATTTCTTCATCCATTTCGTCCTCGTCACCTCCGGTCTCTTCCTCTGCGTATTGCTGTTCTTCTTCAGATTCATCTCCTTCGACGTTTCTGCCTTTCCTTCCTCTTCCACTTCCTTCTGTTCATTTTCATCATGCATTGCTTTCGTCATCATTTTCATCGTAACTACCCTTCGTTTCATTGTTGTCATCCTCATCTTCATCCTCATCTTCATCATCGTCCTCATCATCCTCAGCATTCTCCTCTTCCTCATCATCGTCATTGTCCTCATCCTCATCATCCTCATCCTCATCCTCATCCTCATCTCATCCTCATCCTCATCCTCATCTTCGCCATCCTCATCCTCATCATCCTCATCTTCATCATCCTCATCTTCATCATCCTCATCTTCATCATCCTCATCTTCATCATCCTCATCTTCATCATCCTCATCTCATCTTCATTATCATCCTCATCTTCATCATCCTCATCTTCATCTTCATCATCTTCCTCTTCCCTCCTCGTCCTCATCCTCGTCCCTCATCCTCATCCTGGTCTTCGTCCGCATCTTCATCCTCATTTCCTTCATCATCCTCACCTTCGTCTTCATCTTCCTCTTCATCCTCATTCTCATCCTCATCCTCATCTCATCCTCATCCTCATCTCTTCTTCGCTGCTATTGTCGTCGTCCTCGTCATATCTTCACCATCATCTTCCTCATCATCTTCATCTTCATCTTCATCGTCAGCGTCGTCATCATCATTATCTTCATCAACATCGTCGTCGTCGTCGTCTTCGTCGTCATCGTCGTCGTCGTCATCTCCTCCTCCTCATCATCGTCGTCGTCGTCGTCATCGCCATTATCATCATCGTCGTCGTCGTTATCATCATCGTCATCGTCATCATCTTCATCATCATCATCATCATCATCATCATCATCATCATCATCATCATCATCATCATCATCATCATCATCATCATCATCATCATCATCGTCGTCGTCGTCGTCGTCGTCGTCTTCATCATCATCATCATCGTCGTCGTCGTCGTCGTTATCGTCATCATCATATCATCTCATCATCATCATCATCATCATCATCATCATCATCATCATCTTCATCTTCATCTTCATCATCATTATCATCATCATCGTCGTCCGTCGTCGTCGTCGTCGTCGTCGTCGTCGTCGTCATTATCATCATCAGCAGCAGCATCATCATCATCACCAGCACTATCGACCTCATCAGCTTCAGTCTTGAATTCCTCTACATCGTCCGAGCCAGAGCCAGATGATTCGACGCTGGTTTCGCCATCGTGTCCGAAATCAGTTTCGCTTTCGGCTTCGGGAGCCGCTCCTTCCTGCTTGGCATCAGCCTCTTGCCCTGCCTCAAGAGATGAATCAGTCTCTGTCTCCGAGTGACCTTCCTCAGCATCCAGTCCGACAGCCGAGCCTTCAGCCTCTCCGGCCAGCTGCTCTTCGACGAGCTCTGCCTCTGCCGCGGGCTCTGCAGTCTCGATGGCGACTTCGTCATCCTCATCCTCCGATGTCAGTCCATTGGTGCTGCCTTGGGGAGGGGACACGATCACAATCAGCGACTCGGGGAGCTTGCTGAACGCCGCTGGCTGGAAGCTCTCCAGGCGGTGAAACTCACGTGCGCCGGGAAGAGGCTGTATGCCTGCATTGGGGACCTCCCCGAACGGGGCCGAGTAGACCGCGGCGAGAGTGCACAGCAGAACCTGCAGAAGGTGGAGAGGGGATGATGGAGCACTATATCTACTGAAGGAGAAGCACCGTTTTATGAGTCCACGCAACAATGCATTTACACAATCACTGTGTTTTACACAGCACATGCCTATTTTTGCTATTTATAACGATGCCTATTTTTGATATTTAAGATGCAGTGATCTCATTGCTGAGTCATTACGAAGCAATGACCAGTGCCGAGGCCTTTGCTTCATAGTCTTTCATTATGAACATTGTTTGCTTTTACCATTTTAGGTGTGATATTGGCCGCTGTGGGAGCATTTAGAAAGCACGATAATGACTGGTAATAAATTATGCTTTAATGTCCTTTGTAAAAAAACTTTTTGACACTTCTTATTAATCAGAGCTATAAGAGTGTCACAGTAACAAATCAAACACCAAAATCTTTTGAAGCAGCATTAATTTCCGATCAGTTGCAATGCTGCTATAATTATGCAGATCACATTTGGCACTGTGCATAGTATTACAATGTGTTTGTTACGTATGATTTTCTACGATTTAAGTTGTTTGAAGAAGATAATTGCCTAGACACTGGAGAAAAACACCGATTAACCCGCGCATGACTGGGGGGCTCTACAGAGCCCACCTCCCGTTTTTCGGCAATACCTTCTAAACCGTTTGACGAATCAACACGAAACCTGCGGTAACCTCCGCGACATCAAATTAACACTTCTGTTAAGATTTCAACTTTCTAGCTAACATAGTTTAGCCGGAAATGACGTCAGAGTGACGTCATGTCGGCCGATTTTAATGCAAAATATTGAATTACGACAAACGCTCTCAAGAGCTTAGTTTTGAAGATAGATCCAATTTCTTTGCATGAGTGGATTGCAAGTACACGTAGCTATCAAACTGCTATCTCCAATTTTCGATATTGTGAAAGTTTTGGAAACTGTGTTTTTACAAGTACAAAAATATTTATTTCGTGTAGTGCTTTTGCAAGGAGCATTGATAATACTATAAATTAACTTTGAAGCCATTATAGTCAAAATGAAATGAAATTTAGTCAAAGTCTAAACCGTTATATTATAGTCAAAATAATGAAAATCCTATCCATCTATGAAAATCCGTGATATCAACCCAAACTTAAATACCTTCACACAGTCCTGGCCAATCGTTTAGGTTGTTGTGACTTTTGGTAGGTTACGAACCAGAAAGTAGTATTCATTTTTTGTTACTTGCATGGTGTGTATCTGTTTGTATGAGCGCTTGATTATATAGAACATGATAGGAATTATCATCGCTTGATTATAGAACTTGTGACATATGATGTTGTAAGCATATTGAAATAAGCATTTTGTGATCTGGATGTCGACATCTACCTACATACCAACGGAGGAATGTTTCCATCATTGTAGCGTGCGAATATGTTTTTGTATGTTGTGAAGTGTGTAAAGGAATTTCAAAAACTCAGACCTGATGATGACAGTGTTGTCGAAAGCTTGTTTCTTTTGTTTCTCTTTGGTAAACTAAAGAACCAATACAATTTTTGGCATGTTATTGATCATTTTCACATCAATTTTGACTATAATGTCTTCATCATGCCAACCATCCAAACGATTAATAACTTTGAAGCGACCTTCTCCTTGATATTATGTCAAAAATGAAAGAATTATTTACATGTGCATTCGGGCACAGCCCATCATCAGATGTATATTTGAAAAGACAGCCTGTCTTTCAAATATACATCTGATGATGGGCTGTGCCCGAATGCACATGTAAATAATTCTTCATTTTTGACATAATATCAAGGAGAAGGTCGCTTCAAAGTTAATTTATAGTAAAATATTTATTTTTCATTTTTACAAAACGTTTTTGATTTGTCGAAAAAACGGAATACATATGTGAAGAGCACACAGTGATGAAATACTCTAGCAAGTTTTAGTCCAATATCTTCAAAATAGCCAAGTATTAGTATTATTGTCAAAATTTTAAAATTATATATTTTTCAAAACCATTTTTTCAGTATGTTTTTGACATCATACAGCAACATAATTGGTACCATCGTGTTCCTAAGCTGAAACTGCATCTTTTTGTGGACAAATTTCATTGTCAAAATTTGACCTTTTCTGACCTGAAAGTGATCTGACCTCCGGTAAATTTAGCTGAAAATGACTTCGAATAATACAGACGACATCATTTTCTAAATCTACGAGTAAAATGGCCATAAAACATGCGTCACGTGACCGATACATGATATATATTTTCCGGGACCTTGGAATCCGGAGGTAACCGAACTTGTATTTCGATTTTTTTTTTCAGGTCAAGGCCAGGTCATTCTATGCCATGGAAATTTTGTAGCATGTATCGGTCATGTGACCCATGTTTTATGGTCCATTTTACTCACAGATTTCGAAAACAATGTCATCTGTGTCATTTGAGGTCATTTTCAGCTGAATTTACCTGAGGTCAAGTTACTTTTAGATAAAAATGTTAGCTTTTGAAAGTGAAATTTGTCTACAAAAAAGGTGCCTATCAGATGCAGTTTGTACTCAGGAGCACGATGGCGCCATTTATATTGTTGTACGATGTCAAAAACGCACTGAAAAATGGATTTGAATAATCGTGTATTTTTTTCTAAATGCGTTTAACTTGGTCATTTTTTAAGACATTGGGCAAAAAATTCCTAGAGTCGACGGGTTTCCTATTATTAACATTCCGTTTTTTTTAGTCAAAAACTTTTTGAAAACATTTAAATATTTTTTTGTAATTGTATATGTATATTTTTCGAAGTTGTCAAAATTTGGAAAATCCGATATAGCAGTTTGATAGCCACGTTTATTCTGAGTTCACACATGCAAATAAAGTAGAACTAGCTTAAAAACTGAGCCCTTATGAGCGATTGCCGTAGTTAAAAGTTTTGCATAAAAGTCGACCGACATGACGTCACTCTGACATCATTTCCGGCTGACCTATGGTAGCTAGAAAGTTGAAATTTAGACACTAGGTGTCAAAGTGATGCCGCTGAAGGTACCGCAAGGTTCGTGTTACGTTAAAAGGGTTTTGAAGGTATTGCAGAAAAGTGGGAGGGGGAGCTCTGTAGACCCCCCCCCCCCTCCCCCAGTCATGCACGGGTTAAGTATCTCAATTAGCAAAGCTTATTTAAAACAATCAGCTGATAAAGCGTTGCGACCAGCACTTTAACTGAGGCATATCGCGTTTCCACTTACCACTGTAATCCTCATGTTGTGGCGTTCTGTGCACTACTGCCAGCTGGGGTCGCGGCTGTCACATTTATAGCGGCGTGGGTGCGTGCACGTGCTACATTTACCTCCGTCTCTTCCTCCCATCCGCAAATGGACGTGACAAGTCGACCTACTAGTAGGAAGCAATGAATGGCACCAGTCCGCAAACCTAGCGCATTCTTTTCCTCAGAACATGATGAGTTCCTCCTTTTGCAAAGGGCTATTTGCTTCCTTGAAGCCCTTTCAGATTCATACATTTTCAATGTTAAGTTTTCATAGCTCAGCTATCTGTATGAGCATTGACCAGCGTATAGCAAATAGTTCGTTTAGCGAGATGAAAAGGTTTAAAAAAAACTTTATGTATTTTCTTTATCCCATGCGTACGTAGCATTGATTACATTATGTCCACTACTCCTTCATAGAAAGTGAAAATATCTCTTTGTCTGTCTAATGTGTAAGTGGCATTAAAATACTCTGCCAAAATTGACCAGAGCTCCGTTGTAAAAAAAAACTTGGGGTCAGCGAAATTGACTTCTGTGAGATACTCGCAAAAAATCTTAACCCTCGCCGGCACAGGCCATTTTGAGTCCTTCGACGGCACAAGGGGGGGGGGGGTTGGTACGACCCCCCCTTGCGTTTGGCCCCTGATCGAGCTAGAGCTTCGCGGAAAAAAACGAGCGTGTTGCCCGTCACGAGAGGAAGCCGATGATACCCAACTTTAAGGTCCTAGGTCATCGGTTGACCTTCCAGGTCAGGTCAATGACCCGAAAACCGGGAAAATCGGGACCTGTTAGAAAGTCGTAAAGCGTAGCTGCTATGTGGTTTTCCGGGGTGCTGATCACGAATATCGTGTTAGTTTTGATCAGAGATGATGTCTTTAAGCATTTAGACCAGGTCGTGTCAGGTCAGGTCAGGTCAACCGGTAGGGGTTGTGACGGGTATTCGTAATACGTGTCATCCGTCTCTGACTGCTTCGTAGCATGTTACGAAGGCACCAAAACTACTTCGTAAATGTTCAAATGGTTGCTCAAATGGTTTCAGTCCAGCGTAATTTGACGGTCTAAAGAATCATTTCGTTGACTCAGATAAACCTTTGTCAGCACTGGTATCACTGTGAATGTTACCAAATGCCGTAAATAGAATAGTACGACATCTTATAAGATTGGGCCCATGTAAGATCTGACGCCTGACTTTTGCATTGCTGACAAGACTTGACCTCATACCTATAACGTCACTAAGATCATCGCACTTTTCGACAATACCTCCCAACCAACTTGGACTAGCGAGTCGGGAAGGTCACCAATGGACTTTGAAAGAAAGACCTGCCAAATATATTGATATGCAGCATAATCTTATATGACCTGTTTCGTGACCCTGAGTAAATGGTTTTGACCTGCCCTTGACCTGATGTCAACATTTTTAGTTGAGTTTACCCAAACGAAAAGCATATCAGTCGACGCGCATGAACATGATAAATATGATGGTGTCAATATCGTGACTTTGCAAATTGCAATCATTTTGGAAAGTTATTCACCAAAAAGCAAACCTCCATTTTTGGGCACATGACCTGACCACAGAGGTCACCGGTTGACCTGAGAACTTAAACTGGGGTAAGTACCAGTTAACCTAAGGTTAAGCAGTCTTGTTGCTAATGGCTTTCACAAAATGGAGGCTAATCCTCGCCCGTATTGGCCTTTTTACAGCGTCTAACGTCCCAGCTGTTCGGCTTCATTGGGTAGAAGATTTGCGCAAAAAAAAAAATAGGGTGTTGCCCGTGACGAAAAGAAGCTAATGATCATCTGACCTGATATATTTTCAAGAGTGAGAATTTAAATTGTTCGGGCTTTGTTTTCGAATATATCACTATTTTTGTTTAAAGATTTGATTCAAAGAATATTGTTTAAGCTCATGCATTTAACCCCGCCCGCACATGCCATTTTCCCATCCTAGAACGCACATGGTGGGGGGTGCCACCCCCCTTGCGCCATTTCGTTCCTGCTGGAGCTAGAGCTTTGCGGCAAAGATCAACAGATTCGTTGGGAAGTGACGAATACAATGGTACCCACTTTTACCTCATTAGGTCAACCATTGACGTTCCAGGTCAGGTCAAACTAAAAATGTTCCTGTTTGGGGCCACCGTTGGAATATCACGTGCGGCACCCATCATATACCGAAGGCGCTGCCGTTTGTGGTGTCAAGCCAGCTAGATCAGCTCTTTGTCACACTATCCGACTAGGTTTTTACTGGCTGTGGTCATTTCAGGTCAAGCTAGGTCAAGGTCAATGATATGTGTTTGTATGTCTGTGTGTGTCTGTGTGTATACTGATGTGTGCACCGATTGGTTGGTGTGTCCCTATTGCATGAGATCATGATCTGAGAAGCTTTTACCAAAAATGCAGTCAAAAAACTTCACGAAAAGTAAATTCGGCAAGCCTAAAATGCAATGTTTTTAGATGACCTAGGCTGACCTTGACCCTGACCCTGACATCTGCACATCGTCGAATAACATGTTCCGTGATAGGTGAAAGGTAAGACTAGCAAAAACATACCGAAATCAAGGTGTCAAAAGCTCACAAGACTCATAGCCAGACCCCCCCCCCCCCCTAGGGGTTTTCACGATAGCTCCAAACACGCTGGCGATAGTGAGCTGAAACCTGTCATACCCGACCTCTGATTCAAGCCTCATCTTCTGACACCAACCGCATTTTCGGGTAGGTCAGGTCACTGACCTATGACATTATACTAAGTGAACCTCTGCACGGCCTTCAGATGTCGCAACTTCGCAGCGCCCTCAATGCCAGAGGATCTTTCACAGGACAATGAAACTTGCAGGACCTAGTATCCATTCAGAGTCTCAAAAATTGTATATCCCGGATTTTTCCTTAAGGTCAAATTAGGTCAGGTCATTTTCGTGACCTTACCATTATAAGTCAATGGGGAAAAATTAAAACTGCTATTCTGGCGCCGGGAACGATCTCCAACTATCTCAAGCACACAGAATCGTGATTTCGTACACTCCTTGCAAGGTTCGATGCCTTACTTTTGCAATGTTGACCTTGCGTGACGTCATTTATGACGTCATTAGGTTCATATTAGTTTTTCGTGAATAACTCCCGATCAACTTGAGCTAGCGAGTCGGGAAAGCCACCAGTGGACTCAGAAAGACCTGCCGAATCAAATAATGCGCAACATGACCTCCTTTGACCAATTTCGTGACCTGTGGCGCTTACCTGACCGTGACCCGAGGTCAGCAACCTAAGCTGACCTCATCCAAACAAAAAGTATATTATTAGTTTTTTGCGAAGTTATTCACAAAAAACGGAATCGTACCCTGGGGCACTTGACCTGACCTCAGAGGTCACCGGTTGACCTAGGACCTTAAAATCGGACATTAATCTCTGCGTCTCGTAAGGGCGCACACGCTCGTTTTTTCAGTGACACGCTAGCTACACCAGGGGCGAAACGGCGAGGGGTTCGTACACGCCCCCCCCCCCTCGGCCGGCGCGTATGTGGAAAACCAATAGGTCCGGCGAGGGTTAAGGCAATGAAATTCAGGAAAGATGTATACTTGATCAACTCGAGGTCACTGAAAGTGTCGTTGCGACCGTCCACCTTTTCGTGAATTATTTGTGAGAAAAAAAAACGTTTGACAATCGTTACCTTGCATAAGGTCAGCCGTCAGGTTAAGTCTCAAAATGGTGTCAAAATGTGCCTTTTTGACCAGCTGAGTCGAATTGCATGCGCTAAGTTAACTTTTGAGCTTAGGCAAACAAATCGCACACAATCTACGAGCTGTATTTTACTAACATGCATCGTATTCCCTAAAACGATATCACAGCTTACCCTTCGATATAAGGGGAATCACATTCTCCGGAGTCCGGCGGCCTGTCGCATCACATCTTCCGATAGGAGGAGATGCAATCTTGCCGGAGGATGTGATGCTGATAGGGTCATCACAGATGTGATGTGATGTCATGTGATGTGATGTGGTGTGATGTGACGGAAGATGTGATGCTGATAGGATGTGATGCTGATAGGGGCATCACACCCTCCAACAGTGGCATTGTAACCCCCAGAAGGCACACCTCGTAAGTTCGTAACCTTTGATGGGGATGTCTCAGCCTCCGATAGTCATCACATGCTCAAGTAGAGGCACCGGTTATATTATATTTTAGGTTAGGTAAAGTTAGAGGGTTAGGGGCTGGCACTGGCTGCACTGCACTGCACCGGTTAGGGGGACATTTCATCTGGCATGGGAACATGCCTTCAGTAGCAACATCTCATCCTCCGATAGATCTATAATTTCTGACCATACATAGGTATACTCGTACGTACCGTGGGTGGAAATTTGTGGTATATTGGTAGCAGTTGCGCTCCTAATTGACACAATTTACTTTTTACGATAAAAAGTGATGCATGTCTTGCAGATGCTCCGAATGCAGATTTTCATAGAAAATTGCTCGAATCATGGATCAAATATGCCGTTTTTCACCCGCGCCTTGGCACACCGATGAGCCTAATGAGCGCATTGCTGTGCGACGATGCACCTACCGCATATAATTGTCCACCTATTAGTTTCCGCCGTCTGGAAGGCCGGTCGGCGCTGAGCTCCGTTTAAGGAGGTGGCCAGCAGGCGTCTGTTGGCGATTTTTGTCGCATGTGGACCAGTGTTGGCGAACGGTATAAAGGCACTGCGGCGCCGCCCGCGCGGCAGTGGGGCACGGAACATCGCACAATGAAGCTGGTCTTGGTGAGTGCATGCGACTGGTGATCTACAGTGTGTGACAGAACGCCTCCGAGCCTGCGGCCGTGCTGAGCAGGCGAGAACGGTCTGAGTACCATCGAAAGGCTTTGATAGTTATTAGGGTGGTGGACAGGCTGTGAACCTCATATTTCGTCAGCTGCTGACTTCAGCTCAAGCATTGACATAAACTACCAACAATTCGGCATGGAAGATGCTTTTTAAATAAGTGGCTTTTAATTGCAAGTCACTGAAGTCATCAGTATCTTTTTTATCCGACTAGCGTTAAAGCTTAACATTAAAAAAAAGAAACGAACTTCTAGCAGATTCTAAGCAAACCTTGCATACTTTGGAAAAAATCAATCAGCCTTAAGCCACACATTTAACCTGTTAGCCTTTAAGGTTAACAGCATACTACCAAATGATCCTGACAATCATAACGTTAATAACCTTTACTTGATAAATATAGAGATTAGAGATGCTCTCATAGGCGCGGAAACCTGGGGGGGGGGCAGCTTGCCCCCACAGCTCTGGGGCCGTGGGGGTGGTGCCCCCACAACTTTGAGACGGAATACCGCACTGTTTTCCCAATGTTTCCTTTTTTTGTTGGAAAAGCAAAGGGATGAAAAATAAGTGGCCTAAAGCCGGTGAAAAAAAAAACTAGATTTGAGGGTGCCCTAGGTTGATTTCTATTAGGGTGTGCCCCTCCCCCCCCCCCCCCAGTCTGAAAGTAGTTCCCGCGCCCCTGGATGCTCTGATTCAGTTCAATCCAATTAAAAACGTTCGAGTTTTGATATTTAACGTTTGCTTGGTGTACTGGCGATACAGAATGGGCATGTTGAACACTGTGCATGGGAGGAGGTGCTCATCAAAGACTCTCTCGAAATTTCGAAACGCCTTATATTTGCATTTTATGCGTCACTGCGCACTTTACATACAACTTTGTTGAAAATATAATTGTTTAACTCACTTATATACAAGTTTATACAGCCTTGCTTATGTGCAAGGAAAACAGCTAAGCTGATCACCTTGGACGCTGTTGGTGGGATATACGTGTATTTCCAAATTTGGCACCTGAGCCCTCCAGCGATAGAATATCAGGCCAATGCACAACGAGCAGCTCTGATGTCTTTTTTGATGTGAATGCTGCTTTGATAAATGAATAAGACCATTCCAACAATGGTAAAATTACTCTTAATTATAATTCGGTACCTACATAATATAACAACTGAAAAAGTCATCTACGCCGTCAATGTCGAATTTAATTATAATATGAAATGAATGCAAATTAAGAGTTTTATTATATGGTAAATCTATTTCATAATTACATTGTAATGTGACATACTGCTATTGTAACCACCAAAGATAAGCTACTGAAGGGATCTGACTAGAGTCCGCTTTTCTTAAGTTCTACTCTCATTGTAAGCGTCTCTTTGAACACAGCACGATCTTTGTCGGGCGAATTAATTGGAAAACTGATTCAGAGCGCATTTCACAGGGTGTCGACTTGCCTAGAAGTATTCCCACATTACTCCCTTTTTAATCGTTTGGATGGTTGGCATGAGTGAAGACATTATAGTCAAAATTGATGTGAAAATGATCAATAACCTAGCCTGATGATGACAGTGTTGTCGAAAGCTTGTCTCTTTTGTTTCTCTTTGGTAAACTAAAGAACCAATACAATTTTTGGCATGTTATTGATCATTTTCACATCAATTACTCCCTTTTCCCCGACTCAAGGCCCCCGACTCGCATTTCGTATTTGAACGTGTTTACAACCCCGGAACGATAGTTGAGTTGTCGGAAATTATAGCTGAACTCATCGATCAAGCGCACGGCGCTAATCGCAACGATACTTCATTAGCATTCTTAACTCATTTTGAAAATATAATTTATCTCATCAATACAATGTGCGCTAACTCGCTTTCCGGGTCATTCTCACTGAAAATTTCGTGCTGTTTTAAAAGAAAATGGTTACAGTCAGGGTCGAACTAAGATAAAACGAACTACAGCTTTGAATACAATACTGACAGAAACAATACGTACCAAATTTTATATAGATGCTTCTACGGACAGCATTGCATTGCCTAATTAAAATGAATGTCATACCTATTTATAAAATTTGTTCCGTAAGTTTTCATGACGCTCTTCAAAAATCATCGTTTTACTCATGACAAGTTATTTCTTCCTTTTAAATTATGAAAGCAACCGCATTATTTCCACTTAATCCATAGAAAAAAAAATATAACAAATGCATAGATCGTTTTGGCTCATTTGCTTACCACTGCTTTCATCGGAAAGACTGAAGTTTTATTCAGTTTATAGTATGTACGCTATAAATTAGCATCTGTGACTCAGACATCATATCAACGCAAAACCTGGCCATGTACATTCAAACATAAAATTATTAACGCGATTATAACATATGTAGGTGTAAATTTTTCATACTTCGTCTCAGCATAAAATAGCGCTATATGTTGTGGTTGTATTATATATAACATAAAGTAACGGTGCTATTGCATGACTTCATTAAAACTGTGAAAATATTGACTTCTTTTCAATCTCTTTCTTATTTTTAACACTCAATTCGATTCGGTGCAAAACTAATTATGTCCGACGTTCCGAGAAAAAAAAAATTGCTCACTTAAAGCAGTGTTGACTAAGTATAAACATACATACTGCCTAAAAATATGTCAACCACTATATGATTTGGCTGTTTTGTTTGTGGCCCGCCTGAATGCGTTGAAGTTCCGATTTCACGACGATTTGTGTCTGGTAACTATAGTCGGATTTTTAAGCCCGTATGATCGTTAAAGTGCACAAATAAAATATGGCATCAGATGAGCATTAGGAATGAATAGAAAGGCAACAAGTAAAATCAAAAGTAAATGGTATTTTCGGCTGGCTAGTGTTAAAGCTATTTTAAATGCACCTGCTCTTTTCAAGTAAGCGCTTAAAGCGATTATACATGCTTAAAAATCCGACTGTAGTTTTAAGCGCAGTTTTGGTCTGATTTAATCAATCAAAATGCAAAAAGGCTGTTGAAATTTTAAAAGAAGTTTTCGGCCTAGGCGGGAATGTGTGATGGTTGCACATATACTTATTTTACAGCTTGCATTTACATAAAAAACTTTTGAAAATTTCAATATTGATAATAGCAGGTGAGCGAGCGTGTGCGCTGTGTGTGTGTGTTTGTGTGACCTCTGACACGAGCCACTGTTTGCAGGTGTTCCTGTGCGTCCTCGCGGCGGCCCGCTCCGCACCGTTCGGCCCGTTCGGGGCTGGTCCCCCGGCGCCTGGTGCACGCGAGTTCCAGCCCGGCAATGCTGTGCATTCAAGTTTCGGGAGCATTCCTCGCGTGCTCGTAGTTGTCCCCA